TTCCCGACATTAGAAAGCCGCTGGAGCTACGCACGTTTAAATCTGCATTGAAAACTCGTTTCTATTATAACTGCCTTTTGTGTTTTAGTTTGACGTCCTTCCCCCCCGCACCTCCGATTAGCACGGTTGGCTACGTGCGGTGCAAAAGAAGTTCAACATACACGCATACACGACGACGGTACGGATTGTGAGCATTTGTCCAAGCCGAACTGGGTGAATCTTGACATTGGGGACCATCAATGGAGCTCTGGCACGGCCATTATGAAGCATTTGTGACACACCTAGACCACGATCTCAGCAGTACCGACTCAGTGTGTCTCCGACAAGGCCACCATGAACTCCCTGAGAGAACGACACTTAGACGCAGGGCTCAAACCCATGCAGATTATCACTAAACTATAAACTATTTTATTTTATTTTACCAGGTAAGGCCAACGAAGTGGCTTATCGTGTGGACATTTACAGCAGCCAAATACTCTCAGCACACGTTTCTCAATGTGGAGGGGAAAACTCCACACGACCACGGGGAGAGAGAGACACTGCAAACTCCAAATATACAGCAGCAGGCGTCAGGGTCGGGATCGAACCCACGACCTCCTGTATACCAGGCGAGGTAGTTAACATCTCCTACCACCGTGATGATGATGATGAGAGATAGAGACACGCAGACTCCAAATATACAGCAGCAGGCGTCAGGGTCGGGATCGAACCCACGACCTCGTGTATACCAGGCGCGGTAGTTAACATCTCCTAGCCACCGTGATGATGATGAGAGAGAGACACGCAAACTACAAATATACAGCAGCAGGCGTCAGGGTCAGGATCGAACCCACGACCTCGTGTATACAAGGCGAGGTCGTTAACATCTCCTAGCCACCGTGATGATGATGAGAGAGAGAGACACGCAAACTCTAAATACACAGCAGCAGGCGTCAGGGTCGGGATCGAACCCACGACCTCGTGTATACCAGGCGAGGTAGTTAACATCTCCTAGCCACCGTGATGATGATGATGAGAGATAGAGACACCGCAAACTCTAAATACACAGCAGCAGGCGTCAGGGTCGGGATCGAACCCACGACCTCGTGTATAGCAAGCGAGGTAGTTAACATCTCCTAGCCACCGTGATGATGATGATGAGAGAGAGACACGCAGACTCCAAATATACAGCAGCAGGCGTCAGGGTCGGGATCGAACCCACGACCTCGTGTATACCAGGCGAGGTAGTTAACATCTCCTAGCCACCGTAGGGGCCCCATCATGAAGACCCCCCCCCCACCCCAGACAGAGACACCCGGATTCAGGGCTTGAACCCATGTTCTCAATGTTTTCGGGCTCAATGTCTCCGTCACGGCCATTATGAATCACCCCCCCCCCCAGTAATTGGACGTCACGCATGCGCTCAGTGAGTTCACGCCAACTCGCGGCCCACGCGCCTCTCCGCGAGAAAGATGACAGAGCGCGATTTTAATCATCGCTTAAATATCTCATCATGGGAGGGGTGGTAGCGTGGGGGTGGGGGGTGGAGGACGCGGGCGGGGGGCTCAAGCGTGGGATGTGCCAGGGGGTGGGGGTCGAGGGGGTATAGGGCCCCAGCCGGACCATTTTAATTGCGTCAATCAATCAATTATCGCGTCAATTGGGGGAGTGGGGGGGGGTGGAGCCGCGTGAACTTTCTGCGGCTCGCAAGCCGTAGGAGGGAGCGGCATTCAGCCCCGAGTCGGCACGCGAGGCAGCCGCTGCCGACGCTGCCAGCAACTCCTCGTGCGCAAGTGGGGAAAGGAGGAGAGAGGGGGGGGGGATGGGGATTTCAGATGCGTTTTGCGTCGTTTAGCGCCCCGGTGTTCCAATCCATCGCCCGGTGAATGGTTGCCGAAGGCGTGTCGGTCACGCGTTTCGATTTATGAACGAAAATAAACGTCGCGCTTTTTTATTTCATCAGGGAAGGCACCACTGAGCTGGATGAACCTCAAGGCGGTCACCCGGGGTATCATTGTACCCCGGCTCTCGCATCATGTCCGTGATGCAGTCGTTTTTAGTCTGTTGATGGTCGGCGATGCGGCAATCGACTCATCTCGACGAGCTGTGCTCACGATGTACCATCACTACGGTGCGTACCGCGAGCGTTCAGGGTTTTGGCGCAATCGTCCTCGCTGCGTTTCGACATCGCGGAGTGTGGCACTGATTTCGGATTGATTGGTACCCCAGTCGCGAAGTACACCCCTGTAGAAAAAAAGTGTCCCAGAAATAAAATATTTAATTGCCTCGGCCCATTGGTTACCCCGGGGTACCGCCAGAAGGATCATGTGCAGCTCTTTTTCAGAAGCGACCTGCCCACAAATGAGGGCGCAACGAAGTGGCTTCATAATCGTCACGTGGAAATGCAAAGCGGCCAAATGCTCCGATTCGAAATGTGGAGGGAAAAACCCGGAGTACCCGGAGAAAAATCCACGCGACCACGGGGAGATAGAGACAGACAGACACGCAAACTACAAAAATGAAAATCCGACAGGGTTGGGATCGAACCGACGACCCTCTTGCATACCAGGCGAGGTAGTTAACATCTCGCCAGCGTGCGCACACCCACGTGACGCAGTTATTTTTGGCCAAATACATTTTCTGCCCTTTGCGCCATTTACTTGAATTTGCTTTCGCAAACGAGACTCCTCCATGCTGCTCTCTCGAGTTCTGATCCGGTTCAACAAATGCCAACTCGACACTTATTTTCTTTCGGACCCTAACCCGTTTGACCATACTTCACCACGCTGTGCAGAGAGCGCGGTCGACGGGATTGTGCGCGACCAGAACCGCTTGTTCGGATATCGATCACCACCGATGGCGAGCCTGTAGCCCGTAATCGAACTCAGGTTGCCCGGCTTCACAGATCGCATCGCGGCTGGCTTGGCCATCCATCGCTTCGCCTCCCCCACCCCCCCTGTCCACCACCCCTTCGCTGTTAACTGCACACACAAACACAATCCGAACACCTCTGTCTTGGCCTCGCTGTCTCTGAATTATTTTGAACATTAAAATAAAAATAACGACAAATAAATAACCCTCCTGTCCCAACGTTCACAATGACACCGGCATCATTCCCTTTGCGCGGAGGTGAGATTCGCGTGGACGGTCGTGTATTAAGCAACTCGGATTAGTACGGTTGGCTACGTACGGTGCGAAAGAGGTTAAACGTACGGACGTTCGAGTGTCGCTGAGCAAAGCAAAGCAAACCGAGCGAACGCCGCTGGCAACCCGAGCAGTTGGAGAGGCTCCCCGTCTTCGTGAAACGCTCGGGGCGGATGGGCGGTGTTGGTGGGTCTCATCTCAGTAGCTTTAGTTATCCGGGAGGGATCTGATGAGCTATGAAGCTCTGCAGCTCCCTTCTCGTCTCGCATCTCTGAAGTTTGTGTCAACCACCACCCACAACCAACCACCACCAACCTCCCCACTATTGCACCGCCATCGCCACCACCATCCTCCTCCCCACTTTTGCACCACCACCACCACCCTCCCCACTTTTGCACCACCACCCTCCCCACTTTTGCACCACCACCACCACCACCCTCCCCACTATTGAACCACCACCACCACCACCACCCTCCCCACTATTGAACCACCACCACCCTCCCCACTTTTGCACCATCACCACCACCACCCTCCCCACTTTTGCACCACCACCACCACCCTCCCCACTTTGCACCACCACCCTCCCCATTTTTGCACCACCACCATCACCACTCTCCTCTTCTTCCTACACCACCAAACACCCCCTGTACGTGTATATCAGATTTAAAATGAAATTATTTTTTCGTGTCAATAAAAAAAACCCAAGGCTGTCAAGAAGTAATTAGATAATGGTCTCAAGAAGGGAACTGCTGCAAAAAGAAAAACGACGAGAGAGCGAAAGGACAGCACCCCACCCCTCAACCCCTCCCTCGGAGTGTGTAATTGGCAGGGTGTCGAACGCAACGCGCAGTAATGGATGTTGTGATATTTGAGACGCTGCGAAGAGACGACCCCATCACCCGTGGTGGGTGGCTGGGGGGGGGGAAAGGTGAATTTGTGGGGGTCCACGGTGACTTGGCGCACGCCGTGCATGGAAGAGAGTGGCGGCGCAGCGGTAAAGACGCCACGTGCCGAGTTCGATTCCCGGACGCGGCCGGCATCTCAAGCTGGTCCTCTTGCTCCTTGCCCGACACAGCCAACCCGGACTGGTCACCGCACGCCCGACTCTCCTCCTCAACGCCAAAGCGGCGTTTGGAAGCTTTCGTTTCCCCCTCAACGCTGGTGGCGCTGAGTTGGCACGTGGTCACCTCGACCCGAAAGGAGCCGTTTAAAACACCAGCGCTGGGGAGACAAAGGCGGCCTGGCGCGGTGCTCTGTTCATACCCACCGTGCTACGAAACTCGGCGAGCCGAGTTCAACTCCCTGCTGGGGTCAACGTCAGCGGCGATTGATCTGAGTCGGTCTCACGGCTGTCGCGCGCGACGCTTTGACAGCGACGCGGTTCACCGCGGAACCCGGCGACCCGGGCTTGATTTCGTGACCAGAACAAGGTCGATGACCGAACACCCGCCCCCAGGGTTCGGAGTTTTCATTAATGACTGCCGCTGACAAGCTTTAGTTTTGAAAGCCCTTAAGGGACCGATGAAGGTAACTAGGGACCTGGGAGATTAAACAGAATAAACGTGATTTTTTTCCGTTATTTAAATATTTTGTATTGGATTATTTCGTAGTGTGGCGATTTCTTTTTGTTGACTCAATGGTTGTTATACCTGGTCAAATGAAGGTGAAATACATAAGAAAAATTCCAAACTTTAACTGCTAACACTGCTGCTTCATCCAGCAGTGGACCGAAGGTTGCTTGTACGTACCAAAGCCGTGCATGTAAGGAGTCTGCATAGAATAACTCGAGGGGGGGGGGGGGGGAGTTCGTTCTAACGACACAGAATTCTTCAATTTGTTACTTCTAAAGGCACCCACAAAGTACGCGTGAGATCGGGTGAGAGAAAAAGTCTCTTTTATCGTTCGTCGCCAAAGTCACGTTTAGACGAACGGAGCGAACGAGATCAAACGAGAGCGAAACGGAGGAACAGAATCATTGCATACGCACGGATTCCGTAACGCTTGCCAACGTGCGCGTGTTCTCGGACGTACTTAATCATTTTTAATAACGATGCCCAAGCTGCAATAGGAGGCGATGTCGACTATGGTGTCTTTGCCTCGGCCGAAAAGGCGCTTATCCATTTAGCGCTGGTTTTTGTCGCCACCCTTTGCTCAATGTGGTCGGTTTTCTACAGTACAAATTCCTAACAGCAACTCAACTTTACACAATAATTTCACTTACATTTGGTCATCTGTACAAAGGTTTTCGTGAGCCCATGTGTGTATGTGGTGAACTTCTTTCGCACCGTACGTAGCCAACCGTGCTCATCTTTAAAAGCAATTCTAAAGAAATTAGTTTTCAATCGAGATTCAAAAGTGCAACGCTGCTACAGAGCTGAGGCATTGCCGTTTTAAATTTCAGTTAAAACAGCATGAGAAACAGAAATGACGTCAATGAGACTGTGAATCGTGACAATCGCCAAACTGCCAGGCTCGTTAGGAATTGTGGTTAACGCCATGAGCCTGAACACAAGGTTAAACGTGGTGGGGTTTTTTGTGCATTTATTGGTGATCAGGCTGAGGACTCTCCACCTCGCGACACACAGGAACCCAGTTGAACACCATGGGGCGGCCGAAACCCGCGTTCAAACCTGGGACCCTCAACGGTGGCTCTGACCCCTGCAGCTCCATCCACAACTTGAAATCTCCCAACGACGAATCGCCCCAGGTGTGAACACCCCAACGCGTTCAAATCCCGATCGTGGCGTTTCTAAACATAAAATAAATAAACACCTTCCGACGGAGCATCGTAGGGGTGGGTGGGGGTCATTCTCATGCTCCTGTCCGGCGACCCCTCCCCCCCCCACCTCCGACACGGCCACGAGAGGCCGCCAGAGGTCAGCGCGCGTCACCGCGTGCTGCGGCCGCGGCCGCCTCCTTCTGCGCTTTCAGTTGGCGGTAAGCGCGCACCACTCGCTCCCGCTCCTCCTCCACAATGCGCTGGCGGGCCATGGAGGGCTTGGGTGCCACCGTCCCACCCGCGCCGCCTGCACCGCCCGCGCCGCCCGCGCCGCCCGTGCCGCTGGGCCCCTCCGTGGGGACCATCAGTGACCGCAACAGCAGCTTTTTCTCGCCAGCCTGGAGGAGGGGAGTGGGTTGAGGGTCGGCGCTCGTTAGGAAACACGCCGCAGGGAAAGCGCCGGCGGCGTCGGTGACGACGCGCATCGATCCGTCGTCGGTTGAAGGTCGATTGGTTTACACCTGCGGCTCATGCGGCACGGCGAGACCGCAGGGTCGCAGAAAATCAGGTGCGCGACAGTCGTCGGATGCGTTGTGCGAAATAACGTTGTGTGCGTGCGTGTCCGTGCGTGCGTGTCCGTGCGTGCGTGTCCGTGCGTGCGTGTCCGTGCGTGCGTGTCCGTGGGTGTGTGTCCATGCGCGCGTGCGCTACCTTGCTCTGGGCCGGACACTTCCGTGGTTTGGCCGTGAGACTCGGAGGCTCCATGACGACCTCCCCGAACCGGACGGGATCTGCAAACGACGACACGCCCACCCAAGGCTCAAGACTCTCACTGCCGGGAACGGCGCGGCAATACAGGGCGATCCGTGGACAGATACCCCGCTGGTTTCTACCCGCAGCGGCTCATGTGCTGCGTGTGATTGATTTCGGGAGCCATCCGTGCCACACGGTGTTGTTATTGACGTACGGCGGGAAACGCGTCAAAGCTTTGAAAGTAAGATGTTGTTTTCCTTGTAATAATGTTCACATGCTATTTGAGTGGGGTATCTACAAAACGATCGGCACCTGTGTACTTCGCCATCTCTTGCAGCTTCTCTTGTTTTTTCCGGCGCTTGTTAACGAACTTGCCGAGCTTCTTCTGGTTGTACCTGCGACGCCGACAAGAGCGCGTTACTTATACGTGCGGGGAAATATAATTTTTTCAACAAAGCGGACGTAACTCACGCGCACACAAACGCAGACGTGCACGGACGCACGCACGCCACGCGCTGACCTGAGCTTAGCCTCTGACTTGACCGAGATCTTGACGCCCTCATCCCCTCCCCCCGAGCCTGACCCGCCACCCCCCTCCACCACGCGTCCACGCTTGTCCATCTTCACGTTCACCTCCGGCTGGCGGTCCGGCATGGCTCGGCACACGTCCCTCACCTGCGCAACGCACACGCCAAACGTACACGGCGCCCGCCGACACGGTCATCACCACGCACACACGCGGCGGCACTCGCCCATCCATGACACACCGCTCGCCCCTCACTTACACGGCACACCACACGGCAACAGCCTCGCATCCGCTCGACGCTCGCACCTACTGCTCGACACAAAACAAAGATCCCCGTATAGCCTTGACAGACTGTTGGGGCAAGTGCTGTAGCGAGCACCTATGAAAGGCCGGCACGGCCCACGAGTGAGGACGGGTGGCCAGCCCCACGCCCGCACATGTGCAGATGCCTAGTACAACCCCTGCTCCCCATTCAGTTTTCAGTTTCATTTATTAGGTGTAGCCCTGTGAGCTATTCAGCTCTTGAATCGGGTGCAACCGCAACAAACAAAAAAACAATAACATGAACAAGAAAACATCTTAAAGTGACTATGCGCAAACAGAAAAATCCAGGAAAAAACTGCAAAGTCTTTAAAAAAAAAAAGCACCGTACACCAACGCTGTGCAAAAATCCCAGTGGGATGCAAGTCAAACAACAACAACAACAACCACAAGACAACTTAGATTAAAGCCATCATTCAAACTCCGTACTACAACAAACAAACATGGCCAAACCAAAAAACTTTTCGAAATCACCAAAATGAAGCCATCAGCAATGTAACAGTGATCGTAGGAACTGTGACCGACATTTCACAAAACCCTATCACCCCCAAGGCCCCCCCACCCCACCCGCATCTCCCACCTGCTCGGCGGCACAGTTCATGCGCCACACGAAGGTGCTCTCCGACTCTCCCCGGCGCCGGCGGAAGCGCGGCACGGCCGGCTCCCCCGTGACGGCCGTGCCCCGGGCCGGCTGCGCGCCAGCCTCCACGTGCGTCCCCATGAGGCCCACGCGGGTGTCTGCGTGCAACACGACAAGGCGGCGTTGGCGACGGCGGGCGGTCGGTGACCGCGCGGGAACGGCACGAACCGGAAGCGCGTGGGAGAGCTCCGCGACACGACAGCGATCGCCCACTCCGCGGAGTGCCCAAAGAGGGCAGTCGGTGCTGTACCGTGCGGTTCGGTGCAATGGGGATTCATGAAGGAGGGCGGTTAACACCGTTTTGGACGTAGCTTTCGGGCGCTCGTGTGGGCAATTGCCAGGAAAATCACGAAGCGGTAAAGTGCACGGCGAGCGGGGAAATCGGTGCCCTCTATTGTGTGGTTCAGAGGTCACTTGAACCGATCTCAAGAGATTATGTCTGTGATATTAGCTTGCTTCCGCGGGCCGTTCTTTAAGACGTCGGGTCGCGCGGCTCTGCGAGAGATCCGAGTGGATGCTGCTCTGACTCGCGACAAAATCGGGATAAAATTGGGGGGAGAAATTACCACGCGAAAAGGACAGACGCGGCACATCAATGAGACCTTCAGCCACATCAGCGGGCAAGGCTGATCGGGTAACGCTGCCTTCTCTAATCACGCAGTAATAAAATCATTACTGCCGAAATTAAAGCTCCGTGCCATCGAGCCACGGCAAGGAAATCATCGCCCGACCACGCAGTCCCAAACGACTGAAACCTCAGCCCATCCAACTACCACTCACTGCCAAGTATTTAGAACGTTAATCAAATTATGCCCCCCCCCCCCGCCTGCCTCCGCTGCCCCCCATCTCGTTAGCGAGCCCTGCCACTCATCGTTAGAGAGGCCTTGCAAATTACTCGATTCGGATTTTTAAGGGAAAAAGTTCAGACGACTTTGACAGTTACACGATATCAGATGCTCTTTTAAAGATGTGAGTCATTGACAGATTGATGATGATGAGACTTTTCTTCAACTTGAGTGCAATGGGCGAACCAATTATGAGTTCTGTCATTGGTAGATAAATAAATTTTTTACCCTTACGGATAACGAAGAAATGCTCAGGAAACACCACGTGGTCGTACGCACTTGAACCAATGGATTTATTTTCATCCACGCTGGGATGGCGCTGATGCATTCACTTCCGTGTACGCGTCAAACCTTCAACTTGCTCCTTAAATAACTAAGCAAAAATCATAAACGCTACAGATAATTACCTTCACAATGACAGACCTTCTGTATCGTTAGTTTTCAGTCACACTTTGGACTGAGTTTTTCCTAATTAGCAGAAATGGCCACAACACCAAACTAAACCGTTCTGTGGCGAAGCTTAATAGCAAACCCAGCATGCCCTGCGTGTCAAGAAAACACTGGAACAGGCTTAACGATCAACACATTTGTATCCACTTGCATTGGCGACCGTTGGAATATTCTGTCCAAGTTTGAATGCAACCCCGTGGTCCAGCTGTGCTAGGGGTCTGCACACCGAGCATGCGGTGACGACACTTATCACAACGGTTCCTATTCCTCCTCCGCTACGATGTGTCCGTACTCTTTGGTTTTTTCGGTAACTTTACCGAAAAACCATAGAGTATGAATCCTTGCAGTCACGAAAACTTCAAATCTAGGATGTGTGCGTAGTTTAGGACAAATGGGATTCACACCGGGTCTTCTCAACACTTCCATTTTGACGGCCGAGTATCTACTGCCTGATCGCGGCAGCCCTGCCGAGAAAACCCAGCGGCCGGCGCAAGGGGAGAATATTCAAGGCGGGGGGGGGGGGGTTCTCACCATGTTTGTTGCGGTTGTGTCGCTTGTCCTTCATGCGCCGCTGGTTTTCCATGATCTCCCGCAGCTTTGCGGGGATGCCCTGCTCGTCCACGAAGCGCGGGGCCCGCGTCTTCTTCCCGCAACCGCCCCTGCTTCACCGCGATCGATCGCGAGGATTTACAGAACACGGAGGAAGAAGGAAAGATCACACGTGTATGCTTTTTCCTCAGAAACACCATTGTTTTCAGGACGGTCCTGCTACAATTGGGATGTTTGGCCGATTCAATTAATAATTGTTTGATTTCACGTGGGAGGGAACTGGAGTTCCCGGAGAAAACTCGCCACGCTCGTGAGAAGACAATGCTCAAAATCTCCGCACAGATATACGGGCAGTCCCCGACTTAAGAATGGGTTGTGTGTGTGTTGGTCTTCTTTCGCACCGTACATAGCCAACCATGCTAATCGTTCCGGAGACCCGTAAGTCGGAACACAATAATGTATTTAAATGCACAGTCAGTGTTACAAAGTGTATTAAGGTTCAACAAAAAAAAAGGGAAGCAATTGTTAAACTTTGCACATTTGCACGTAGTACTGTAAATAGTTCCGCGGTTCAGTTCGCAAGTCGGACGGTTAATTAAAGAAAAAAACAATATGGAAGCTCGTTCGTAAGTGTGAATGCGCGTAAGTCGGGCCGTTTGTAAGTTGGGGACTGCCTGCATTGAATAATTATCCACCGCTCTTGCCGATTGATGATAAAGCCGACGTCATAACCACCACCCGAATCATTACCATCGTTAAATTCATCAAGGGCAGCGAGCGTGGGTTTGGGACATTCATCACCGCCATCATAATCAGCGGCAGTAACATTGGAGATTCTTCACCGACGGATGCAGATGGATCACTTACCCATAATCTTCATACACAATAACCTGAGATCATATTATCAGCTTAAATTGGTAAACATGTTGTCGCTTAATAATAATAATTCACAATTTGTTAATTCACTGCCGGATAAAGGGCCTCCCCAAGTCTTTCGGTCATGGGGAGTTGTCGACCATATTTCACCACGCGGGTCCGTGCAGGTTGGGGAACGGGGTGACCTAGACCGGTTTAGACATCATTAGCCACCCGCGTTAGCCGTGTACTGGGAAGCGAACGCATGTGAACCAGGTTCATGGCGCAGTGCGATAACGACTGCATCATCGCTCCACCTGGCATTTTACTGTTGGCCCCGGATAAATGGAGGCAATTTCTACATCACAGCTACCCCTCTATTTAAGGAACGAAACAGGACGAGGACTTCTCCACACTATCTGTCTGTCGCCTGATGAAGCGAGTTGTAATTACTGGCGAAACGTCGTACTCCGGTTGTAAATGTCGTGGATTTGCTCTCCCAACACACCGGTGTTGCTTTACTAGTGACGAATTGGCACGTTCAACATTACTAATTGGTTGTGTCGGGTGGTGGCGGGTTTAACGACACATTTATATATTTACGCGATATAACCCAAAAAAAACCTGTATGGAGGCAATTCCACATTCGTACGGCAGGGGCCAGTATGAAATTGGACAATTTAATATTGCACGGGGGAGGGGGTCCTGGGACCGCTGCGGACCCAAAAGCTTTCCGAGGACCCCCCCCCCCCCGAATGATGCTTAGGGCCCCCCTAAACTGGTATAAAAAAAAAAACCCCGGCTCTACCACCACCACCATGTCGCCCCACTCACTTGTTTATAATGTCCTTCTTGGGTCCGCTGTGGGACGTGTCGACGCTTCTGTCCTTATACCTCCCCATGCTTGCACCGCGCCAGGCAGGAGGAGAACGCTACAAAAAGCGAACGTCAACGGCGGCTGAAATGAAGCGTGGATTTGGCCGCCACAGGGGTAGGGCGAGACACAGGCCCGCCGAGATGCGGCAAGGGTCGGTTTCTTGTGCGGACGCGATCGTAGAAATCACTCTGCCGTGACGGACGGCGTGGGGGGGAGGAGGAAGAGAAGAGGCCTTCATCCAGCAGTGGAGCGATAAACCTCCGCCGCTGCTGCTGTTGCCGATGGTGAAAAACTGGCGCGGGCAGTGCAAATCAGCGGGCCATGCCGTCGCTCATGGGCGCCGCCATGTTGCGATGGCCACGTGACACGGAAACCGTTGAGGGGGGGAGGGGGGCGGGGCGCCGCCATCTTGCTAGAGGAAGAGAGCAGCCATCTTGCTAGGGGACAGCCGCTTCCCCACCCATTGGCATTTGTTCAACAATTGACTTCAGATTCTGGCGTGAAGTACACTCTCTAAATCTTGAATTATCTTTCTAGCCTCACCCCCCAACCCCCCTCTAAGGGTATTGCCCGAAACGTCGCCAATTGTATACATTTCATTTGAAGGTCACGGTGTTATTGACGAACGTGCCGAGTTGTGTTGTTGCTGTTGTTGCTGTGTTTGGTTACCGTCACTAAATCGTTTGTCCCCGCGAACGTAGCGCGTGTTACCGCCCCCACGTAAGATGGCCGTCGAGTTCACGCCCATCTTGAAAACAAAACAAAATCGAATCGCGAACCGTTGAAGACTTAGTCGACGGAATCGATCCACGGCCCAACCAAGCAGGCCTGAATCTAACCCCGTGAGTGTGGAATCGAATTGACACACTCAAGTACGTGGGAATCGAATCGTGATTTTTTTTTGGAATCGAATTGACGCACCCAAGTACGTGGGAATCGAATCGTGATTTTTAATCGACGGTTAATCGAATCGTGGGTGGGGGTAGAGTGTTGTTGTGAATTTGGATGTGCCGAACCCCGGGGCTCTTGACCCTCTCTGCTTCGGAGTGGGGGTCCTCGTCCCGTCCCCCCCGCCGGCCTCACGCGTCTCCTCCCCGCGGCGTTTCTCTCCCATGGCGGCCGCCGCGGGGCTTCTGGCTGCCGCGTGGACGCGGGGTCTGCGTCGGACGGCCGTGAGTGTGACCCGCTTGGGGCTGCCCCCGAGTTTTCGCCGAAGCAAAAGCGGTGTCGGCTTAGGGGTCGTCCATAAATGACGTCACGCACTTGGAGAGGGGGGCGGGGTCAGACATTGTGACGATGTGTGACGATGGGGGGGGCGGGTTTGAGAGATGTGACGTCACAACAAAATGCGCGACTTTAAATAAATACTAGCTGTACTACCCGGCTTCGCCCGGGACTTGTATCTACCACGGCCGGCCGCCTTTGTCTCCCCAGTGGCGATGTTAATACGCTACAGCAGTTACTCGTTTGAGGCAGAGTCGACCTAGGGGAGGTTCAAATAATCGTCACCGGTGGTGGCCGTGAGCGGGAATCGAACTGGGTTCGCCGGGTTGGTAGCGCAGCGTAGCGTTAACCACTACACCCACCGCTCCTCACACACACAGACGCACAGACACACACACAGACACACACACAGACACACGCAGAAACACACAGACAGACACAGACAGACACACAGACAGCACGCTAACCACTACACTACCGCTCCCCACACACCACACACGCACACACACAGACACACACACAGAACACACACACAGACACACAGACAGACACACACACACAGACACACAGACAGCACGCTAACCACTACACTACCGCTCTCCACACACCACACACGCACACACACAGACACACACACAGACACACACACACACACAGACACACACACACAGACACACACAGGCAGCACGCTAAGCACTGCACTACCGTTCCTCCTACACACCACACACGCACACACACAGACACACACACATAGACACAGGCAGCACGCTAAGCACTACACTACCGTTCCCCCTACACAACACACGCGCGCGCGTCCATAGGTACACATACACGCGCTTGCTGCAGACACACACATACACACACATGCATACACACAGACATACACATACATACAAACACACACATACATACACACAAACACACACATACATACACACAAACACATACACAATACACACACACATACATACAGACACACACATACATACACACAAACACATACAAACACATACATACACACATACATACAGACACACAGACATACACATAAACACATACACACATAGTCATGACCCGGCTTTGCCCGGGACTTGTATCCACCACGCCCGGCCGCCTTTGTCTCCCCAGTGGCGATGTTAATACGCCACACCAGTTACTCGTTTTGAGGCTGAGTCCCTCCCTCGCCACTCTGCCTCCCTCGCCACTCTGTAGAGGACGTGAAATTTGTATGAATTTACCTCAGAGTGGCGTGTTGGGTGTCGAGGCCTAGCACCGTGCAGAGCCTCCCGCCTTGCCTGATTTTCCCACCCGGCGAACGCTGGGTACGGGTGCCGGTCCCCCCCCCCCCCGCGCTATTAAAAATGGCGTCCACCCCGCGGAGAAAAGTTGCTACTCGTTGCCAGGGGCAACCGCCGTCCAATGAAAGCGGCGAAGGCGTGGCTAGCCGTTGCCAGGGGCAACCGCCGTCCAATGAAAGTGCAGTCCACACACACACACACAGACACACAGACATGAACGATTTTATATATATAGATAGACAACACGTTTTACTTAATTAAATAGACTTTTTAATAAATGTTTTCTCCTACAACATCAGAGTGCAGCGGCACATTAAATATACACTACGATGACAATAGTTTAAAGCGATTTGAATTTGAAGCATGTTTTATTTTGGGGGGGGGGGGCAGAGCTTTGTGACGTCATATTTTAGGGGGGGTCTGACTTTTTGTGACGCCGTGTGATGAGGGGGGGGGGTCCAAAATCGTCCAAAATCGCGTGACGTCATTTATGGACGGCCCCTAAAAACTTTTGATCGACTCGCATCCTTGCGGTCACGATACGTGCATTGAGAGCAAATGTACAAATCGATTATTTTTTATTCGGATGTTTTATGTGATTGGTTCATGGAAACCTCGATGGTATCACCTGTAGAGTCACTATTGCACCCCTATTAATACTCTTGCTGTGTGTGCGGTGTACGTGTGTGTGCGGTGTACGTGTGTACGTGTGTGTGTACAAGGTGACCTGGCGGACGGGTGAGATGGTGAGCTGCCGGCGAAGTGTCGGTGGACCTGCGGCAGGGTCTTCCGGATCAGCGTCTGGGTCAAAACCACGGTCTGGATCAGATTCCGAGTCTTGCTCAGAATTTGCTTCCGATCCTGCGCCAGGCTCTAGTTCAGGACCCGAGCCGTCGTCGGGATCTGGTGCTCAACCGGAGCCAGATCCAGAATTTCTTTCGGGATCAGGATGTGACTCCGAATGTGGTTCCGGATCGGGACCTCGCTCAAGGTCAGGATCTGGGTACGACTTGGACCCGGGTCCCGCGTCCCACGCGCTCCGGGCATCGCCGCCGTCGCCGCCTCCGCCGCCGCCGCTTTCGCCGCCCATCCCCGAGCCGCCCGTGGGGTTGTGTTGCATGAGCGGCTGCCCAAACTGCGTCTGGCTGAGTTACGCCGAGGAGCTGCTGGCGCGCTACGGCGATGGTGACGGCGCGCGGGCGGCGCTGGACGCCGTGAGCACCCACGTCAGCGACCCCTCGCTGCGCGCCTTCCTTGAAATGGAGCTGCGCACCCTGCTAGAGCGACGATGATTACCGGGGGGGCGTAGACGCCGCCCCCCCTCCTCCTCCTCCAGACAGCCAGGGCCCCATCTCTGACAAAAACGGTGGAACAATGGCTCAAAAAATCGTGGCGCTGCTTTGGTTTTGCATAGCGCTGCAGGCGAGATGACACTCCTGTTGGCTTGTTAGAGGTGGGCTAATTACAGACGAGGTGACACTCGTTGTTTTGCTAGGGGTAGGGCTACAGGCAATATGACACTACTGTTGACTCGGGTTAGGGGTTGGGCTACAGGCATGATGACACTCGGTTAGGGCTACAAGCAAGGTGACGCTCATATTGGCTTGCTAGGGTTAGGGGTAAGATTACACTGCTACTGGCGTGGCCCTCATCCAGCAGCGGATTGACAAAGGAGTTGTGCATGTGCATTTGTCCATCCTGAGCTGTGGAATTTCCTTGATATGAAGGAAACGCATGCAGTCTGGATGGGATTGGCCCACTGAGATGAATTGTGAATAATCCGCGTGAGCTTTGACCTATGAGAAATGAAATTGATGGGAATAAATTGCTTAATTTGCCGTGGCGTGAGTATTGTGAAGCGAACGCGCAAAAAAATTGTACGAGACGTCAGGTTTTGTGTTGCTGTAATACCACGCGCATTAATGAACGCCGCTCTTTGCATTTGCCGCGCAGAATTGCTGTGACAGCTCGCACACCGTGACACAGCCCAGGTGCGTGGGCTGCGTGGAGAATCAGAACTAATAAGGGGCCCAGCTAATGAACGTGTTGATCGTAAATTACAGAACAAATCTGCACACACGCGGGCGTGTGGCCGGTCTGTACGCAAGGCTCGGGGGGGGGGGGGGGGGGGGGGAATTCTTGACGAGGGCGGTGATGTGGCCGAGCCGTGGCGCGTTTGCCGCTCGTTGCACAGGTTCACGGTTCGACACCAGCGGCTGCCATGGTTAATTTTCACGGGTGTGTTAACAGTAAATACTCCATAGTCTGCATCGCAGCTGACGTTAAAGATCCCCGCGATCTTATTCTGGGGGGGGGGGGGAAAGTAGTCGCACATGTGCCAGCGTCACCATATTTTAAAATGATTCTCAATTTACTTAATTGGGTAAAGCCCCCTTGCAACATCACCCTCGACCGTGAAACGACCACAGCAGACTACGTTAAACATGGTGCCTTTATGCGCTATAAGATGGCCGAGCATATTGGACTGCAGCCCTATGCTGTGTTGGTCATGGTGCTTTTACCATACTGCGCTAAACTGGTCAGCGGCAGGTTGGTGATGGTGCCTGAGGCCAGTTACCCAGAAAAATGCTAAACGAGTTATAATTAAGGCCTGTGGCCAAATGTGTAAAACAACTTCCAATGAAATTTCCCTTGTGTTTCTTATCAAAAGAAATGTAAATCGAGTGAAATTTCCACTCAAGATATTTATTTTATGCAAACCGACCACGGACATACCATCCTGCCCCTAACCCTGACACCTGGACGATGTGAATAAATATTCCACTTTATTTTCATGGCACGGGGCGCTCCCTTGAGGGAATCGTGGAGAAATACTATTTATTCATGTGGATGTGTGCACTGGTGTACATGCTGTGCGTTTTAATTAAATCAAAATCGTACACTGCGCTCGACTACGCTTGCATTGTCTGGCGTCGTTCTGCAAACGACATCATGAGGGCGTAGAGATGGACCGCTCGGCAAACCACGCTCATATCTCTCTACGACACCGAGAGAACCGAGGTTTCCAACGTCAACATTTATCTTTTTAAATCCTTTATATTAAGTTCACGTGCTTGCTTGCTTGCTTAGGACCGTGCAAATATTTCGGTCGTTTTTTAACCCACTTCCCGTGATCCAATCGAGCTGACATTTTCCACACAGACTCGTTGTGCCAGACAATTATTGTTCGTGAAAAAAAATTCCCAAAATTTTACACTTTTTACGCAAAAAATTTTTATTTTACATATATTCAAATAGAACGCATTCATGGCTTTGGCTGAACGTCAGAGTGTAAGAGCCCAGAGCGTAACCCCTCCACAGGCCGTGGCGGAGTAGCGCAGTTGGTAGCGCCCTCGCTTCCCATGCCAAAGGTCGCGGGATCGATCCCCGCGTCCTCCACAGGCGAATATATTTTTAAATCCTTTATATTAAGTTCGCCACCACGCATATAAAGGGTTTATAGAGAAAAACTTTGTTTTTACGGGTTTACTTGTCCCTCTTGCGCCAGCCACCCCGTGGTCGCTTCCAGCGTTGAATTTGTTGGGAGGCGGAGATGTATTGACGATGTGCGATTTGTTCGTCAGGATCGAGGCAATCTCATTCCTAATTTCACCATTTGGACTTCCCCGACGTCCACTTCCCACGTTCATTGGGAAGCACCACCCGTCCTGGGAGGGCAGCCAGTAATGGTTATGAGGCGGTCGGCTGCATGTGCATGCATACCCACATCAATATCAGCATCGGCTCATTATGCTCAAAGCATGTATGTTATTATTGTTAGGGCCCGCGGCTGGCACTATAAGCCGAAGCCGCTAATAGATGCCGTGGGAGCGGGACGGAGCTGCCTTTCGGGCGGGCGACTGCTCGTTTAGCCGAGTCTCCCTCTGGAGAGTTCATTACTCGACCGCGGAGATTCGTCCCCATGGCCCCGCGGACATGGCTCAGCCAGCCCCGCACCTGCTAACCGCATCGAGGTGCTGCACGGGCCGTTAGAATATGCGGCGCGTCGCCTCCCCGTTCTGTCGCCGTCCTCGCCGAACGCATCCGAGGCGCGGATTCTAGAAAAAAAATTGCGCTCGCGACGGCGGCCGGTTCCAACTTCCTCCCTGCCACCGTGGGACGTGACCAGGCGGTTCAGGGGTCAGAGGCACCGAGCCGTCACCGCAGAGATGCCGGAGTTTGGCTCTGGGCTTCAGACGCCCGTGATTAAACTGGTGCAGTGAGTTGATGGTCTCGGTTCGGTCGGCAATGGCTGCATGAAAGTGCCCATCTCTCGGCAAAAATGTATAATTGTACAGGCATAGGCTGAATATTTGTCTGCAACAGGGCGTGTGGTAAAGTGCTGCCCTCGTGTGTGTGCATTAAAAGGTGGAGGGGAGTGAAGGGTAAAGGATTACTTGAAGGGATCTCAGCAGTAGTTGTGATGTCTTCTTCCACGGGACATTCTCCAGCACAGTGTGACGCACTGCTTCCAGTTTTCCAAAAGGATACTCCGCCTTCATGACAGACATGGTGCAATTCGAACAAATTGGGCGAATAGAACCCCTCCTGCCACAACCCCACAAAAAATGGGATGGTATGAAAGAACCCTCAAGCGAGACACGGCTCTGCAGGGCTTGTTCCACTCGACGTGTACAGCGCGTTTGTGTCGATCCGCTGCTGGACGAGGGTCTCCCCGTGCGTGCCTTGAGAGCTGTAAGGAATTATTTGACCATATTTCACCCCGCTAGCCAGTGCGGATTGGTGGATGGGCGTCCAGAACAATACACGTTGCTACACTGCCCTCTAATGCTCACAACTCGTCACGTCAAGGGTCCCGGCACAAGGCAACAGACTGTTAGGGGCAAGTGCTGTTCGCGAGCAACTCTGAAGCCTGGCACGGGTAGACGAGAGGGTGGGTTGCCAGCTGCTTGTACCATGCCGGTGCACGACTTTGCCATTCGGAGGAACTTGACGGTGCGTACCAGTTGTTTGTGGATTACAGGTTTTTGTTTGTTTGCTGTGGTGTAACAAGATTTCTGTGGTGTAACCAGATCCGCATCGAAAATGAGCATCTATTTCCCAATAGCTTGTATCGGTGCGCAAAAATTAAGACCAAAAATGTAACTACGGTTGGCCATTTACAGTGCGAAAGAAGTTCAATATATACATAACTATAGTAAAAGATATAAATGCCACGATCAACATGGTACGTTGGTCGTGACGGAGGTGCTGCATCCAGCAGTGGATTGACGAAGGGGTGTGCGTTATTATTACGTCAATGAGAGGCATGCTGCATTGTACAGTGGCAACGGTACAATGATTTAATTTCACGTAACTTTCACTGGAGTCACCGAAACAAACTTTTTTTTTAATAACGCTTTATTATAACCAGCACAACACAAGACAACTCGGCACACTGCTTACAGCGCCACCGAAAGCAACGAGATACTCTGGGATCTGACACGCACAAGTCAAACGCTCTACGACGCCTTTCATGCAAACAGCGCGCGCGCGCTTTAACGGCAAGGCCACATATCCCTGGCAGCTGCACGGGCTACAAAAAAATGATCGCAAAAAAAAACAAGTGCCTGTGTTCGTTTCCATAGTAGTGCTGTCTGTCCCAGGATTAATTCAGTTCCTGAAGAAGCTTCCAGCATGCAGAGTGAAACGTCGGACATCAGGCCGATCAGTACGTGGCACGACCCGAATACGCGTCGGAGAGCCAACTCTAGAAGTTGGTCCACCCCAGAGTTCTAGGTTTCACTTCTATCGCAAGCGAGAGGTCGCTCATTCTCCTCTGCTACCCCCCCCCCCCCCCCCCAAGTCTAAAACTCCCTTTCCACAGCCATCAGTGCTGTCGACTCCCTGGCCCTGTTCACATCCAGGCTCGTGACCTACCTCTTTCCCTCCGCCTATGACCGATTGGCCATATCTCAGAATTAAATATGCCCACTGTTTCTGTACGGCATCTTGATACGCGGTCGCATTTAGACGCTATACAAATCCTAATTGTATTGCATTGTACGTGTGATTAGTAGGTGCCGAGGAACAAGCACGGCCTGGAATCTAGGGCTCTCACAATGCACAGTTTCACTGACACCGCTTTTGTTCCGTCTGTTGCCCGTGACTTTGTGATCGAATGGGCAAATAACGGCCTGGTGTTCCTACAATGACATAATGCATCAACAACTCTCAGTAGCTCGCCATAAAGCCCCCGGCGCCACTTGACTCATTACGCTCACATGATTCAGTCTCCGTGGCTTTGGAAGTAGAATGGTTTGCATCCGTTGTGGAACACGGATTGAACTGTGGGTTCAGTGATGGATGGGGCAGTGGGGGGGGGGGCAGCATTACATTGCTGCCACTGACCTCCCCCCTCCCCACTTTTCCAGGTAGGTGACCACCACCCACCACCCCCACCTCACCCCGGGCACCGCTTGCCACCTCCCAGCAACGTCAGTCCCAGGGTGACGCTCAGTGCGCGATGATCGACCACGCCGCCACACCACTCATACGCGCTCGGAGGCGTAGACGGCCACCTTGCAGCCGACCTGAATAGCGGACTTCAGCAATGCGTAAGCAGGGGCCTGCACGCAAACAGAGCACAACGCAAGTTTGGAAGACATCCATCGCATGCGGTGCTGCGAATGTTTAAGGTATTCAGTGCTTTTTCATTAACCTCATCATTCATCCGCCATGAACAATTTACTGCCGGTTAAAGGTTTCACCCCTAAGCCTCACCTAAGCCTCCCCAAGCGGCCACCCACCTTTCACATTCTCATTCAGTGTGTTACTCGCCATAAAAAAATTGTTACAAGCGACACTGAAGTTCAACGCTTTATAAAAGGCATTAAATGGCTTACTAGCGAGTGGGAAAAATGCATGAACTATTGATTTAGTTTGTTTATTGTAAGACCAAGTTGTTGTACAGTAGCCCAAAGTGAGATTGCTGTTAAAATGGAAGAGCCAATGCATACGCAACAAGCCGGCAAAAGATTCACAACTGTTATAAAATGACTTAAAAAGTTTTGGTCCGAGATAAATATAATTGCTGTGACTATGGTGTTATATAGGTAGAGTTTGGATTAGGGATTACGGTCATGATCAGTGTTCGTGATTATAATTAGAATGGTAGCAAAGTGTAGTTTAAGCTCAGTGGCTTCCCCTCAAGATTAAGTTCTTTAACCATGCTTTTGATGCCGATGCTACAGAGTGCTGTTATAACATGGAAAGAAAACACAACTTCATACCAGATATAATAAAATAGTTTTAAGTTTTTTAACACCTCATCCCCATCATCGTCATCATCGTCATCATCGTCGCCATCGTCGCCATCATCGCGGACACTCACCAGCTCGGCATTGTGCTGCAGGCCCGTGTCGTGGTGTTCCATCTCATCGTCACGGAACTTCCTTAGCAACTACAAAGACAAAGATCCCCCGTTATAGCCTTAACATAACGTTGGGGCAAGTGGTGTCAGCGAGCACCTATGAAGGCCAGCATGGCACATGAAGGGATGGGTGGGTAGGTAGCACCACGCCCGGCCGCCTTTATCCAGTGGCGATGTTTTTACACACCGCACCAGGTATTCATTTAAAGCCGAGTCGACCTAGGGGAGGTGCAGGACCGGTTCAGATGATCGTCACTGATGTTGGCTGTGAACGGGAATTTAACTCAGGACACCAGGTTCGTAGCGTAGCGCGCTAACCGCTCCCGCAACTACACACATGCATACACACATATACACGCATCTGTACAGAGATAAAGATGCTCAGTATAACCGTATAAAGTGTTGGGGTTGTTTGCTAGGACTTATTTTTGTCAGCACTAAGGAGGCTGGTAGTGGGCTCAGGAGAAGGTGGCGTGCCCAGCAACACGCCTAGTCGCGTTTGTCGCTCCAGTGCCGATATTTGGTAATTATGATGAAATTTCCACATTCAGATGCATCATGATGGATCGCACGGAACTGATTTTAGGAAACCCTAGATGGGAGTGCATCTCCTGGGTGCAATGAAGCCACGTTTTTTTTTAATCGAATTCCTTACCTTTCCTATACTCTTGCACTCCTATCTTATTTTTGTATTGTTTGTTGTTGTAACGTTCTGACCCGCCCCCTACTGGACATGTGTGAAAACGAGCTTCATAGGCGCATTGGATTCCTCCTGCAGTACTGCAGTATACACAAAGATTCCGATTCTGACGTTTGCAGGCAGGGCGAGGGGCACCTCGAGCAGCTCCGCGTGCTTCTCCGGGTCCTCCTCGACGAGCGTGCGGATCTGGTTGTTGTAGTGCTCCGAGATGCTCTCCTCCACCGCCACCGTGCACGCCATGGCGCCCTCCTTCCCCAGCAGTGCCGAGCCCGCGCCTGGCACGGCAGAAAATCAACGACCGGCGCGCCCGTCGTTGAGCATCGCTGTCCGTCACTTGAACAATTATATTCGAGTTGCGCTATTGGCCAAGAGCAGAGACCCGACGAATGACCCCGATGATCATTCTCAGAGAAGCGGAGATGGTTCGTAATTATCTCAAACATATGCCGCTGGGAAGCGCCGGTTCAGAAAACCCATGGGTTGACGAAGAGCAGTGTCATTTTACTTCATTGTCCACATACGGGAATTGGTGTATTTATAGTCAGCTAAATTTGACGGAAAACTGTAAGAGTGAAAAAGCACAAAGAAGCATTGATTCTTGGAATTGCACCGAGATGCTCTCGAGCAGTGCCGGGCTCGGTGCTCTCACCCCCGAGTCGCCCGACCACCTGCACATCGAGCACCGTCGTGTTAACGACCGCCCTGCTTCCCTTTTTATTGATGTATTACAACTCAAAGTGAGCACGGTACAAAGCGCCGATCACAGAACGGGATGGGGAAACAAAAATTCTGCGAACAACAGCAGAGCCCAATGAAGGGGAAGAATTGGGCTCACTTTTCCCACCCAGGTGGGAACCACTAGCGAGGGCATGAAGGTTTATATGGGGAGGGGAAAAGGGTAGGGGGAAAGATAACTAACGCAATTGGGGAAAAAATGGGGACAGGGGAGAGAAGGGGAGGGGGGATCAGCCCTGCTTCTCTAACAAAGTGAGGCAGTAACACTATGAGACATCTCCTTTACCAGTGGCAAAATATAGTAATAGGTTTTTACCCTTTCAACTGGTACAACAACTGGCACCTTTATACAAGGCATCATGTTTGCAATAACCACAACACAAGCAGTCAAAATGCAAACAAAAAGAAACTCTGAGACAGCTTTTCTCGGGTGTGGACCAATCAACTTCAAGGACAGTGCATATCATTATCATCATCAGAGTTGTTTCTTTTTGTTTGCATTTTGACTGCTTGTGTTGTGGTTATTGCAAACATGATCCCTTATATAAAGGTGTCAGTTTTTGTACCAGTTGAAAAAGTAAAAACCTATTCCTATATTTTGCATTTTGACTGCTTGTGTTGTGGTTATTGCAAACATGATGCCTTGTATAAAGGTGTCAGGTTTTGTACCAGTTGAAAGGGTAAAAACCTATTACTAAAGTGAGGCAGGATCCGTGCCCTGCAGGAAGCCATACACACCAAGCAAGAACCCGGCCACATTCCACAAGGGCAGCAGGGCAGTGGGACGTACGCGGTGCCGCGATATCAACTCCTCAAACTTCGCCAGGTGCTCCTTCTCCTGATCCCACATCCTCTGTACACGCGTGCACACACACACACACATACATGATTTCTTGCAAAAGGTTTCAGTTTGGTGTTATAACATCTTAACACCTTGAGTTGAAGCTTTCGTGACTGCAGGAATCCATACTCTTTGGTTCTTTTGGTAAAGTCACGTAGGTCAGAAAAATGTATAATAGTTCACGACGTTTCGATCGCAAAAACAAGAGACCGTCTTCAGGTGAGGCCCTCATCCAGCAGTGGAAGACGGTCGCTTGCTGCTGCGATCTAAACGTCGTGATCTATTATTATTTTGTCTTCTACCTACGTGACTTTACCGAGAGAACCAAAGAATTGCTTAAGACCTGTTTTGTTGCCAGACAAAAGGGGGCGGGGACAATTCTAGATTTGAAGCTTTCTTGACTGCAAGGATTCATACTCTTAAGTTTTTTCGGTAAAGTCACGTAGGTAAAAATAAAAACTACAGTTATTTTGCCGTGCCTTTTTACACCTGATGAAGGAAGCTTGTGTTGCCTCCGAAATGTCGTGATTTAATTGATTTATTTTCATTTATTATTATTTTATTTTTTACTTTTTACCTACGTGACTTTACCCAAAAAACCGAAGAGTAGACAAAGGAAACAACCCCTATTATCATCCCTTGTAGCGATTTCAATGTGGATTTTGCCCATCTCTGCGAGTGATAGGGTGTGGAGGGAGGAGGATCGAGGGGTGGTGGCCGTGGGGGGCCCCTCGCACCTTGATGACGGGTGCCACGCTGCTGCCCCCCAACACGGCGAACTGCCCCGCGTAGATGCGGTCCGCCCCGTACTCCCCGGCGTGGTCCACGCGGATGATCCTCTCGACCAGGGCAGGGCCCGTGAGGCCTCCTTGCTCAGCGGTGCTGCTGGACGGCCTCGTGCCGATCAGCGGCAGGGAGCCCAGAGGTCTGGGACCCCCCGACGTGCGGGGCCCAGGGCTCACTCGTCCTGCCCGGACGATCACCGCCGCTCCACGCCGGAGCATCGTCGGGGGCTTTGGGATCAGACCCAAGGCGGCCACGTGAGCCGAGCCGAGCCGGTCCTGCAGACTGTCGACGTCGCTGCTTGCTTCTATCGCTGTTGTTGTCGCTGCCTTTAATTGCTTCTGCTTCGGTTGCTACCTCCGATTTCTGCTGCTGTGATTGCGTCTGCTTTATCGCGTCGTTGGCGGAGCTGCAAATGTTGTGTAATGCGATTGACTTTGCGTGAATGTTTAGCTGCAGTAGCCGCTGTTGTTATTGTTCAGTTGCAATTGCTGTTGTTGTTACGGCTGCCGTAATCGTCTACTTGCCGACTTTAGCTGAAGTTGTAGCAGTAGTAGCTATCGATATAGATTATTAATTCTTACAGCTGTAGTAAACTTGCTGTTCAGCGGTCGCTGTGGTAATTGCTGCAGGTGTAATTGCTGTAGTTGTCGTAGCTGTGGCTTGTATCTTCTTGTATCTTCTGCGGTCTGTAGCCGCTGCAACTCGCACGAACACCCCGCTCGGCGCACTGTACCGTGTTGTGTCAAGTACAGTGGCGTGCGGAGCGCGTGCCCTTCAGCGAACAGCTTTGGCCGCCCACATCTGCCCCCAGGGCGGAGAGGGCGACGTCGACGGGGCGGCAAGTCGAGAGCGGCGAGCCGCAATCGGCCCCGGGGGCATTTATCGTTTCGAAAAGGCGAAGTGGGGGGAAAATAAATAAATAAAACCGACTTGCCGTCTGCAATGAGCGGTGTCGTCATCACGTCGCGTTGGTGACGTCACGCGTAAACCTCGCGACGGTGACGTCGTTACGTCATCGGTCCCACACGTCTGTTTCATCGCGTGCGCGCTGACGTCACGTCTCCGGGTCCTCCTGTCCCCCCCCCCTTTCACATTTAGAAAAAAACGTGCGTTTAGACTTTTGTGTAGATTACTTTGCTGGCTATAAATGTCCAAATTACGGGCCGCTATGTTTGGGCTTATCATTTGTGGCCAGGTCGTTTTGGAACGATAAGGGGTCGTCCATAAATGACGTCACGCGATTTTTGACCCCCCCTCGTCACACGGCGTCACAAAAAGTCAGACCCCCCCCCCTCAAATATGACGTCACAAAGCTCTGCCCCCCCCCCCCCCCAAAAATAAAACTTGCTTCAAATCGCTTTAAACTATTGTCATTGTAGTGCGTATTTAATGTGACGCTGCACTCTGATGTTGTAGGAGAAAACATTTATTAAAAAGTCTATTTAATTAAGTAGAACGTGTTGTCTATATTTATTTAAAGTCGCGCATTTTTATGTGACGTCACATTTCTCACCCCCCCCCCCCCTCGTTACACATCGTCACAAATATCTGACCCCCCCCCCCTCCCCTAGGTGCGTGACGTCATTTATGAACGGTCCCTAAGTTATTACCTGAGTGGGGTTTGCCTGTTAGGATGGGGGTTGTATTTGTGTGTTTGGGTGATTTGTTTGTCAGGTAGAAGGGAAAAACAATAAAATAATACAAATAAAACAATACAATTTTCGGTAAAGTCACGTAGAAGGGAAAAAAAAACAAGAAAAAAAATTTCTTGCTGTGGGTTTCACACCTGATGATGATTGCTTGTGTTGCAATCGTTATTGTTTTATTTTTTATTATTTTATTGTTTTTTCCCTTCTACGTGATTTTACCGAAAGAACCAAGAGTATGAATCCCTGCAGTCACGAAAGCTTTAAATCGAAATTTGACTGGACATCTGTGAAAAAAGAGCTTCATTGGACATCGGATTCCTCCTCTGCTGCAGTATAAACATTCTGACGACACGGCGCCTGTGACGTCACACGCGTTGTTGAATGCCCCCCCTCCCCCCGCAATCAGCACGAGGGGGAGGGGTTAATGCGTGAGGGGCGTGGTTACGAGGCGGGGGCGTGGTTACAAGGTGAGGGGCGTGGTTACGAGGCGGGGGGCGTGGTTACAAGGTGGGGGGCGTGGTTACGAGGCAGGGGGCGTGGTTACAAGGAGGGGGGCGTGGTTACAAGGTGAGGGGCGTGGTTACGATGTGGGGGGCGTGGTTACAAGGCGGGGGGCGTGGTTACAAGGCGGGGGGCGTGGTTACAAGGTGAGGGGCGTGGTTACAAGGTGGGGGGCGTGGTTACGAGGCGGGGGGCGTGGTTACAAGGTGGGGGGCGTGGTTACAAGGGGGGGCGTGGTTACAAGGCGGGGGGCGTGGTTACGAGGTGGGGGGCGTGGTTACGAGGTGGGGTTCGTGGTTACAAGGCGGGGGGCGTGGTTACAAGGTGGGGGGCGTGGTCACAAGGCGGGGGCGTGGTTACGAGGCGGGGGGCGTGGTTACGAGGTGGGGGGCGTGGTTACAAGGTGGGGGGCGTGGTTACGAGGCGGGGGCGTGGTTACGAGGCGGGGGGCGTGGTTACAAGGTGGGGGGCGTTGTTACAAGGCGGGGGGCGTGGTTACAAGGCGGGGGGCGTGGTTACAAGGCGGGGGGCGTGGTTACAAGGTGGGGGGCGTGGTTACAAGGCGAGGGGTGTGGTTACAGGGCGGGGGGCGTGGTTACAAGGTGGGGGGCGTGGTTACGAGGTGGGGGGCGTGGTTACAAGGTGGGGGCGTGGTTACGAGGCGAGGGGCGTGGTTACGAGGCGGGGGGCGTGGTTACGAGGTGGGGGGCGTGGTTACAAGGCGGGGGGCGTGGTTACAAGGCGGGGGGCGTGGTTACGAGGCGGGGGGCGTGGTTACGAGGCGGGGGGCGTGGTTACGAGGTGGGGGGCGTGGTTACAAGGTCGGGGGCGTGGTTACAAGGCGGGGGGCGTGGTTACGAGGCGGGGGGCGTGGTTACGAGGCGGGGGGCGTGGTTACAAGGTGGGGGGCGTGGTTACAAGGTGGGGGGCGTGGTTACGAGGCGGGGGGCGTGGTTACGAGGTGGGGGGCGTGGTTACGAGGTGGGGGGCGTGGTTACGAGGTGGGGGGCGTGGTTACAAGGCGGGGGGCGTGGTTACGAGGTGGGGGGCGTGGTTACGAGGTGGGGGCGTGGTTACGATGTGGGGGCGTGGTTACAAGGCGGGGGGCGTGGTTACGATGTGGGGGGCGTGGTTACAAGGCGGGGGGCGTGGTTACAAGGCGGTGGGCGTGGTTACGAGGCGGGGGGCGTGGTTACGAGGCGGGGGGCGTGGTTACAAGGCGGTGGGCGTGGTTACGAGGCGGGGGGCGTGGTTACGAGGCGGGGGTCGTGGTTACAAGGCGGGGGCGTGGTTACGAGGCGGGGGCGTGGTTACAAGGCGGTGGGCGTGGTTACGAGGCGGGGGCGTGGTTACAAGGCGGTGGGCGTGGTTACGAGGTGGGGGGCGTGGTTACGAGGCGGGGGGCGTGGTTACGAGGTGGGGGGCGTGGTTACGAGGTGGGGGCGTGGTTACGATGTGGGGGCGTGGTTACAAGGCGGGGGGCGTGGTTACGATGTGGGGGGCGTGGTTACAAGGCGGGGGGCGTGGTTACAAGGCGGTGGGCGTGGTTACGAGGCGGGGGGCGTGGTTACGAGGCGGGGGGCGTGGTTACAAGGCGGTGGGCGTGGTTACGAGGCGGGGGGCGTGGTTACGAGGCGGGGGTCGTGGTTACAAGGCGGGGGCGTGGTTACGAGGCGGGGGCGTGGTTACAAGGCGGTGGGCGTGGTTACGAGGCGGGGGCGTGGTTACAAGGCGGTGGGCGTGGTTACGAGGCGGGGGGCGTGGTTACGAGGCGGGGGGCGTGGTTATTGTTTTTCGCCACCCTTACCCGGAGTCACAACCGGACATTGACTTTGACGTCTTGGACAGGGGAGCTGCTGCCAACGACGGACGCTGCGTTCAAGGTTCTCGCTGTCTTCTGAGAGGTGAGCGGCGGCGGCGGCGATGATGATAGGCGGCGGTGCCTCTCGGCTGTGATTTGCGTGTGTTTCATGCCCAACGTACTGCAGACGACGTTAACGACGAATAGGCAAAGGTGCGACAGAGCCCTGCGATTATTCGCGAACGCCACTTGCTGGCATTGAAGGTCCCTCGGCTGGAGGAAACCACAGAAAGTTCTCTTCCACGGCGGTCAGAGAGTGGGAGTAGCTTCATAAGAAACGTGTTTGGGTTTAGATCGCGTTATTTATAAATGTTGTGTCGTAAACCTCCACCACCCGACACGGCCAATCAGCACAAAAGTGTCACGTTGACAAAAGATAAATAGTTCACTGCTTTAGCCCACCGGTGTGTTGAAGAGTGAATCCACAACATGAATTTTTTTTGATGTTTGAAGCATCTAAACCAAAAAAAGTTTTTTTTTTAATGTTGTGAATTCACTCTTCAACACACCGGTGGGCTAAAATAGTGAACTATTTGTCTTTTGTCAACGTGACACTTTTTTACTGATTGGCCGTGTCGGGTGGTGGAGGATTACGACTCAACATTTATAAATAACGCGATCGAACCCAAAAACGTTTATAATGAATAATATTGTTCGCGAAAGCCTGCTACGTGTTAAACAGTGGGATTAGCTACCCACTTTGTCCCCAACCACGCGAAATCTGCCCATCGACTAACGCGTGTGGCTTTAGATGAACTCAATATAAAGCGAGGCTGGCGCGGTTGGGTTCAGGATAACACAAAAAAATAAACAAAAAAGTTCGCCAGACAACTGCAAATCACGGCGTCGTGTCTGTGTGAGCTGGAGGACCGCTGTTGGAAATGGGCCGTGATCAGAATCGGTTAAATAAAGATGCGGACGAGAGCGGGGTTTTAGTGTAAACCAGGGGTCGGCAACCAAAATAACAAGAAGAGCCATTTCTTTCCAATTCGATACAAAATTCAGTATTTAAAGAGCCGCAATGCATCTGAGTACGTACTCATCGTCAAGAAGCAGCCCGTAAAGAGCCGCATGCGGCTCCGGAGCCGTAGGTTGCCGACCCCTGGTGTAAACTGTGAATGACAATGAAACGCAACGTAGTTTTTTTTTTAAACAGGCAGTAGGATTTCGCGACCAATATGATCCATAATAGAGGTTTTTGGGTGAGGTCGCTTAAATATAAATGTGTCGTTAAACTCGCCACCACCCGACACGGCCAATTACTAAGGGTTGTCGCGTAAACAAAACGTGCCAATTCGTGACTAGTTCAGCACACAGGTATGCCACAAATGTTGTGGGTTTACTCTCCAACAAACCTTACTAATTGGCTGTGCCGGGTGGTGGCGGGTTTAACGACACATTCATAATTACGCGATCTAAACCCAAAAACTATTTTTTTTGTGGAAAAGTAACGAAACAACGTGTCTGCATTTTTGTTTTGTTTTCACAAAAAAGACAAACTAAAAACATTTGTGAATAACACCGTGGTCTTGACACACATAACAGACGACGTTTCGGGCACTGGTCCTTATTAATTGGTCGTGTTATTTGTGCTTGTGCACCACCGCTCTTGATTTGAAGCTTTCGTGACTGCAGGAATCCATACTCTTTGGTTCTTTCGGTAAAGTCACGTAGGTAGAAAAATAAAATAAACCACTGCCAAGACCAGCAACAGCTAGCCAGCTAACGGCATCTGCATCGCCAAACGATGAATTACTTTAATTGGTGCGAACCAGCATCGCCTTGATGTTGCGTGACCTGTGGTTCGCAAACATTGGGCCGTTCACAAGCTTTGTGACAAGGTGTTGAACAGCGCGTGGAAGAGATCCGTGCACGCTCGGAATTAAACTGAGAACACGGAGAGAGGAGCGACACGTGTATTAGATAGCATATAAGCAGGTTAATGATATGATTACAACTGTTACACGATATCCCAAGTTGGGGAGTTGGGAGGGGGGAAGGGGCTCGGACAAAAATGACACGTAACTTGCTGGAAGGGATGATGATGATAATAATGACAGATTTGTCAAGATTCAATGACGTTCTCTCTCTGTCTCGTTACGTTCACCGAGGAGAGATGGAGGGCTTAAATAATCTGGCGTGCAAGGTGTTGAGAGCGGCGGCTGGGGGGGGGGGGGGATTTGTCGCATGGCAGAGTTTGTGGGAGATGGTGACGGCTTGGGGAAAGGGGGGCCTTCATCCAGCAGTGGATAGAGCATCGTGGCTGATTACCACAATGATGCGTACGAGAAACATAACTACGGTAACTCGTGGCGCTGTGCCCAGCAGCCAGGTGTAAAACGTAATCCGCCACGAATCCATGATTAAATGCCGAGTTTGTCAGCATAACCATGCAGAGGTAACGTGGGGGGAAGTGGTGTATCCGTGTTACACGTAGCGCGCGTGTGTGTGTGTGTACAGCTGTGTGGGTCGACTCAGCCTTAAATGAGTACCTGGTGCGGTGTGTAAACATCGCCACTAGGGAGACAAAGGCGGTCGGGCGTGGTGCTGGCCACCCACCCCCTCGTGTACCGTTCCGGCCTTCATAGGAGCTCGCTAACAGCACTTGCCCCTGCAGTCTGTTCAGGCTATACGGGGGATCTTTGTCTTTTGTACAGCTGTGTGGATATTGGACTGGTTATATATATACCGTATAGTACTTTGTGTGTATGAATGTGTGTGTGGGGAGCGGTGGTGTAGCGGTAAGCGTGCTTGCGCTATGAACCCGGCGACCCGGGTTTGATTCCCGCTCAACAGCCAACACCAGTGACGATTATCTGAACCGGTCCCGGGGCTCCCCTAGGTCGACTCAGCCTCAAATGAGTAACTGGTGCGGTGTGTAAACATCGCCACTAGGGATACAAAGGCGGTCGGGCGTGGTGCTGGCCACCCACCCCCTCGTGTGCCGTGCCGGCCTTCATAGGTGCTTGCTAACAGCACTTGCCTCTGCAGTCTGTTAAGACTATAGGGGGATCTTTGTCTTTGTATCTTTTAGCCACCATCAGTGAAGATTATCTTAACCGGTCCTTGGCCTCCCGTAGGTAGGCTCAGCCTCAAATGAGTACCTCGTGTAGTGCATAAAGACATCGCCACTAGGGAGACCAAGGCGGCCGGGCGTGGTGCTGGCCACCCACCCCCACGTGTGCAGTGCTGGCCTTAATAGGTGCTCACTAACAGCACTTGCCCCAACAATTTGTTAAGGCTATACGGGGGAACTTTGTATCGTTTTGGTGTACTGTATATTTTGTGTATAGTAATATGTGTATGTACTTCATTGTGTGTATGTCTCTGTGCTTTGCGATCCATCCTATCGATTCACTCTTTCATTATTCGCTCATACAAACATTATTTCATCCACCCACCCCTCCGAATGTCCACCCAACTATTATTTAATCTACCCAACCAACCAGTCATGTGGTCATTCATTCAATCAACGACCCAACTTTTAAACGAGCAATCTGTATATCAGTCTATTCGCCCATCCCTCAATATACCCAACCTACTCATTCACTCACCTGCACATTCACCCATCCGTCCGTTATCCAATCCATCCAATCCCCCCATACAGCCATTTTACCTTCCACCAACCTACTCACCCACTTATCCACTCACTCACCATTCCATTCATAACAACTACAAGCAGCCACCAACTCGTCCACAAATCCACCCATCATCCACTCACCCACCAATGCACTCACCCAGGCACCGATTAATTCTATACAATAATTTAACCACCCACTCATACACCCAAGCAATCTGCTCGTCCCTTCACCCACCCATCAGACATCGAAATCCAAATCCCTCGTGAAAGAGTTGAACCCAGCCCAAAGTCTACGTATCGTCCCGCCCAGCTTGTGGCTGCATAATCGCATTAAGTGGAATGTGCCGTTAGTATTTAACACAGTGAAAGCTAACGGGGGGAAAAAAACTATTAAAGGCTTATGCAACTAAAATCCCAGTCCAGCGTAGACTAAACTCCACTCCAGCCGAGACTAAACTCCACTCCAGCTAAAATTAAACTCCACTACAGCTGAGGCTATCCTGTATAGGAGTTTGATTATAATTATCCGTATGCGTGGTCGTTGTTTTATGCTTTAATTAACCAGGCAGTCAAATAAACCCGATCCTCGATTTGATCAACAGACACACACACAATGAGCTAAAATAATTAACAAGCACATAGACACACAGACATCAACATAAAACAATTATTCACACACACATACATTGAAATGGACAAACTCGGACAGAATCAGAAATCCCAATACAGCACGATACAACCATGACATAGAGGGACGAACAAACACGGCCATTTAAACAAATGACCAATTAAAACACAAATACAAAGATCGCCTGTATAGCCTTTACTAGACTGTTGGGGCAAGTGCTGTTAGCGAGCACCCTTTGAAGGCCGCCCCCCTCCCGCCTCGGGGATGAGTTCACAGGTAAGAACAGACGGCCAACCTGACAGCCGATGACCAATTGAACACACAGCACAGACACACACACAAAACACACAACTGCCCCCCCCCGCTCGTAGTTAATTGGCTGAAGCGGGTGCCCCCCCCCCGCACTCCCTAGGGGTGAGTAAATAAACCCGAGCCTCCCGTGTCTGCGGTTCTTAATTGAGTCGCGAAGAGGTCCCCGGGGGGAGGGGATGGAGAGGTCGGAAACTCGGCTGAATGATCAGAGTCAGAATCTGTATTTATCCTGGAGGAATCCGATGAGCTATGAAGCTCTTTTCCACACATGTCAAGTAGGGGCGGGTAAGACGGCTACATGGAAGAGGCCCCCCAGTGATGTTGTTTAGGTTTTTTTGTGCTTCGGTGCAGCCGACGTATCTCGATCTTCCAAGTCTACACGCGTGTGTACCGTGACATGCAGCAGGTTGATGGAGCAAATGGTCTTAATGCAGGCCCTTCCGCCAGCAGTGGCATCACCCAGCCATTGCAGGGGCTGCCCCTTCATATCGCTTTGAATAGCCTGGCGGTGGTGGCGATGACG